TGCAGGTCCAGGTGTATGTCCTAGGTATTGTGCGCTCTGTCACATGCCAACGACACCCAGGCAGGAAGGGAGGAATGATCTGTTAAAGAGAACTCGGGAATAAACAGCAGGGAGCACCAAACACTCGCTGGGTTGGTATAAATGTATCCAGCAGAGGCACACACACACACACATACACACACACACACACACACACAACACAAGAAAAACAATCCACTGGATCATTTGTGCTATATAGTTGTTCCCCCTTCTGCCCGTATTAAGGTATTACTACTCGTTTTTCCTTGATGTAGCCAGCACTGAAACGGCACCATGCATGTTTGGCTTTACGACATAGTTTATAAGCTAGTTGCTATTCTGGGGATGCGAGCATCAAAGGTACGACATGGGTGTGTCGGTGGCCCTACGGCCCTACAATAGTCACGATTGCCACCTCGAGCTCGTCAGGAATATGTTGTCAACATGGCCCTCTATACACAGCATGCACATGCTACCATGCCATACCACATCCTTGGATACCAGGTGTGATACCAGGTTTCGGTTTCATCTTTTGATGTTTTATGGATATGTATCCAGGCAAGCATGCGCAAATAGGTGTCCTTGAAGAGGTGGTGAACACAAGTGTTCTAGGATGGTGGTTCAGCGAAACCACCATGAAGAACCTCGGTCGTGGAGATGAAAACCGCCGACACGGGGAATCGAACCCCGGCCTCCCGCGTTCCTTGTCTTGGCTCGAGTCCTGACAGGCGGGGATACTGACCACTATACGATGTCGACCCTCTGTGACGTGCCTACTTCACCTCGACTCCATGACTCATCCTTTCGCTACCGGGACTCGAACCCGGGTCTCGAGAGTGAGAATCTCGCATCCTAACCGCCTAGACTATAGCGAAGGATTGAATACACACACCTCTTCCAAGAGATGCTTTGAAGGCCTCCTGTCGGGAGCAAGGACCACCGCGCTGCGCCGCGAAGGGGACCGTAGCTTCGACTCCCAGGGCAGCTGTGGGTGTGTGGTGCGTAAGGTGCTGTGTGGTGCATAGGTGAGAACGGTATTAATGTGGGGAAGCAGTGGCGTGGACTCAGTTACATTACATCTGTGACGGAGGGTGGCTTAGTAGCAAGCCACAGCCAGCAGTGTCGTAGCAGAAGGCATTCTCGAGGTTCACATCCGGCATCCAACAGCATCGACCCATAACAGCAAGAGAGGCAGTTCCTCACCGCAGGCCGCCATGTAAGAAGTTGCACAATCACACAACAGCAGGCATGCGATAACTTTAATTCGAAGCCTGAGCGTCAAATTGATTCGCAGATGTGAAAGAACACAAACATTTCTAGGTTCACAGTCTCAGCGCGTGGTAACGATCTTGCGGACGTTCTCAAGGCTCGCAATGGTCAGATCCGTGCCCTGCAGCTTTACATGCAGATCTGCCGTGAAAGCCGCATTGACGGCTTCGCAGGCGGAGGTGATGTCGTCCAGCGTGGTGTCGGCGAGTGGGGTGAATGAACGGGCTGCACTCGATTCCATCCAGTTCTGAGCCACGTTGGCGGTAGTGAGTCAGAGCCGTCACAGCAGCACCCGGCTGCTCCGGATTGTCATTGTGAAAAACCAGTAGGGTATCAGCTGCTGCTTCCAAGCTGTTGATGTTATCATGGTCATCCCGGAGCACAATGGCCATGAACAGGCCTGTGCTCAGGAATGTGTTCTCATACGTGGTCTTGAACGTTTCGTGAAACGTTCGGCACGATCGTGTCCTGCCAACTTGAAGGACGCCATGGCCATTCCGATGGTCAGGCTGGCTGTCGTACGGTTCGCCGCGGAGATAAGGTTTCCGATGCCCTTGCATCGGTCGTCGTGGGCGGCTGCGGGGTCTCCACCACCAGCAGCTGCAGTGTCAAGGAAGTGGCGGCTGATCATGATCGTGCGGTTCAGCCATGTGACTTGGCTCTGCGACGTGGCCTTGGCGACATACTTGGTGGCATAGTGCGTGGTTCGGTGGGCCACAACCTCTGCTTGCACAAGGATGTCCTCCAGGACCTCGGGGTCACACATGGGGACCGGCAGTACAAGCTGTTCCTCCACTGTTGCGATGTACTGACGGTCGAGCTCACAGGCCAGTGTGAAGATGTTGTTGCAGCCCAGCACCATTGTGACAGCGGGGCAATGGGGCACAATGTTGGGGCCGTATCGGGGCAGAACGAACAGGCCGCTGTCGCCCACCCACTTGAACTCACACCAGATGTGGCGTGGGTAGGCCATGCCGCAGTCTCCATCCACGCCTGCACAGCTGAAGCGTTTGCAGGTGTCGGTGTGTTTGTGGGTGCAGGACCCCACGACACCCGCCACAAGGTGCTGGGTGCAGCGTTCCAAGCACACTTTGGGTGTAAAGGTATCAGTGGCTTCACCCCCGGTCCCACATGGCTTGCCACGGGCGACAATGGCAAAGTCATACGCAGGTGCCGGCATGGATCCATCTGGCTGAGGCGCGCGGATGGCTGGGGGGCGGCCAGCGGACGCTGCGGGGGGGGCTGGCTGGACTCCATTGTCACCATTGCCAATGTCTTCATCTGTGCCCGAGGCGCTGCCAGGTTCTGCTTGAGTCAGGCCGTCATCCTCTTCTGCAGTAGCATCTGTCATGCTGTCATCACCAGAATTCGTTGCTGCCGTTGATGTTTCCATGGGCGTCGGTGCAACTGCCGTTGGTGTGGTGGGTGCAGCCGTGACCAGGGGTGTCTGCCAGAAGACTTGTCGCTCTTTGTCCTGAATGTCGTAGTACGGCTCAGGCAGCCACATGCTGCAGAGGGCGTGTGCCAGCACCAGAGTGCGGCAGTTGGGCCCCTCAAACAGGGCCCGCATTTTGTCCACGGTATCGCTGCCAGGTGCACCATGCCGTGCAAGTGCAGGGCGAGGCGTCCACTCTGCTCCACCTTGATGCAGATGTGGAACACGGTGCCACAGAAGCAGTCGGGGTTGCTCTGCCGCTTGTCGCCAGGTTTGAAACCAAAAAGGATGTCCATGAAGGCGAGCTTAACCGTGTTGAGGAGTGCTTGGCTGGTGTAGGGGTTGTTTTGCACCCGCCGCCACTTGTCCATGACACGCTCCTCCCGCAACGGAGCACCATCCTCGCCAAATTCCAAAAATTGCCCAGCGGCCATGACTGCAGCCGCACTGTGCAAGTCGGCGGGGTTGACGTTAAACATGAGGAGTGGCAGCCTGGTTGCGGCGGCTACACCACGTAGATTGGCGTGCGTGTTGCGGTAATAGGCATCTGTCATGTCGATGCGTGCGACCGTTCACCGAAGAGAGGTGACGAGGGCGTGCACAAGAGGTGACGTGTCTTGGAGCAAGTGGCGACGATCCGGGTGCATCTTCGGCAAGGCCAGGATGTCTGCCATCGCTTTGACAGCCTCTCGCGGGATGGCACCCACTGCATCGATGTCTTGCTGGCAGCTCTTCACTCTGTTCAGATGGTGATGTTCTCCGGCAACGATGCAGCAGAGCGTGGGATGGCATCCACCCACTGATCGAGTGATGGGTTTGCCACGGCTATCCCGTGCATTGTGACGGTGATGGGCTGCAAGTCAGACGGCCGGTTCTTGACCTTGAGCCTGTAGATCTGCTGCTGCACATGGCCCAGCCCCAGTATGCTGGCTTCCAGCACGGTAGGCCACTCCAGACGCTGCCCGTCCTGATTGATTTCTGGCACGTCTCCACCATCATAGCGTGCGAGAGCAGCCTCCGGGATGCGTCCGCCTGGATGCGGAGGCAGCAGCCACAGGCAGGGCAGACCAGTCAGAATAACCAGTGCGGTTGTGTGCGTGCATGCATGAACACCCAGCACACATGATCCGCAACGAAAGCACTGCATGCAAATTCTCATGTTAGTGTTTAGTGCTTACATTCCAAGGCATGAATGCAGTCGTTGCACATCATGATGATGTCGTCGCCAGCCCCGTTGGTGTGCACCGTACAATTCTCCCCAGAGCGCTCCACACGCATGCAGTACGGCACTAGCCACACACCCGGAGCAGTGGGATCCGGCCGTGGCTCCATGCCAGGTCGTGGCGGCCACGAAGGGAGCATTCATTCCTCATGCTGGCCGTCCACGTCTTGTGGCCGTGTCGCATCCACTCCTGCTTCTTCATCGGAAAGAATAGACTCCTGCTTGTCGTCAACACCATCTGTCTCACGCCGACATCACCGTGGCAGACTAGATGGGCCCGCCTCATGCGGTGGAAAGTCTTCCAGGAAGAGCCATATGCTCCAGTGTTGCCCAAATGGTCCCGCGCCTGTTGCAACGAACTGTGCTGCTGGGTGGGCTGGCGGTGCTCTTGGTCATCCGAACCACCAGAGTCCCCTGTCGTACCAGGATGCTTGGTGAGCCCCGTCTTCTCCGTAGAATGCCCATTGAGCCACATCTTTCGGAAGCCCCACGGCAAAGCTGGCTCGGGCGGTGGTGGTGCTCTGGCGGCTGTCACTGGTAGCCATGCGACGACTTGAGCTGGACGCGCCACTGCCAGCGTCCTCCAAACATCTGCACGCAACTGGTGCACGTTGGGGATGTCACCAAACCGGTAGCCGTGTGCCTGTACCGCGGACTTCATCTCGCTGCAGCAGGTGCAGACACAGGAGCCATGTTGTTTTTGACAGTGGCATAAAGCTGTTTGGCGACTCGGATCTGTACCCTAAACCCTAAACCTTAAACCCTAACAGAAGCTGTTAAGGGAATTACAGTGGGCAGAGGCTGACCCGCAGGAACATCTTGCACATGTTCCGGCCATGAAGCTGTACTGCTGTCTAACCAGGCACCCATACAAGGCTTGGTGGGGTTTGTCGGCCGCCTGAAACCCAGAAGGCAGCATCCAAAACTGCCTCCACAAGGCTACCCCTGCTGCGGCGGGTGTGTTGTGGTGTGTGCTCCTCAGATGACTGTTGCCGAATCACACGGGCTTGATGCTTTCGAGCTGCGTCCACTGTTTGGTCTGCCGCCACTTGCTCAGGTGTTCGGTTGGCTCGCACCTCTGCTACCCGAGCTGCATGTGCTGCTCGATGCGTGGCCACTTGCTCAGGCGTTCGGTTGGCTCACGCCTCCGACCACCGCGCCCACCGAGCAGTAGCTGCTGCTCGGTCCGCCGCCACTTGCTCAGGTGTCCGGTTGGCTCGTGCATCTGCCCATCACGCTGCAGCTGCTGCTCGATCCGCCGCCACTTGCTCAGGCGTCCGGTTGGCTCGCGCCTGCACCTTTCTGGTTGCATCCACACTGGACAGCTGGGGTGTCGGGGGGGAAGGTGTGGCTTGAGTCCGGCCTGTGAAGCTCAGAAGCCACGAGCCTCCACCTGCAACTGTACCTAACCGCCGACGTCCTGCATGATGTCAGGAAGAGGATTACTAGTCTACAGCCCATACAGGAGATGGAGCAACATCACGGGCATCAGTCTCAACCAGGACTCCTTACCGGAACCAGAATTGTCCATAGAAATGGCCGGTCAAACTGATGTCGCGACAGGTTATCCTCCTATCCTCAAGGAATGCATGCATAGGGCCCTACCAACTCATAGGGGGTCTAACAGCGGCTAACAGGCGTGCCTGTTAGGGAATGTTAGCCTAACAGATTCTCTAACAGTGATGGGGCTGTCAGACGATGTTTGGGCTGGCGGCAGGTGGATCTGGCTGTTAACAAGCATGTTGAAGAAGTAGAACAGGAATTGGTGCTGTTAGCCGTTGTTAAGGCTTGTCAGATGTTTTCAGACTGTATTTTAGCTCTGTCTCACGTTGTTGATGGATGATGTCGTTTAGAACAAACATTCTTGAACGGTTTGTAACGAAATGTCCTGCCTTTTGCCTAATATTTGGCAAACCATACGTTTCAAGCAATATCATCAATCATGCATATTACCTCGCTTATTAGCAAGGCACTAATTGACTGGATGAAAATCCAGGCTGCTGTTCCAAAAGCACTACTGCTGCAGTGAATTTAGGCATGAAACGAATGGCACTACTTACATGGCGTAAGGTATCCATGTGCTTCACAGTTTAGCATACGAAGCACTACTGCATTTGAAAAGCAGTTCAACGCCAATACCTACTTACAGCCACCAGCAGGCCCACAAGGTTGAATTATCTGCATCCTCTCTCTCGTTACTGAAACACAACGTGCTGCACCTAAAGTAGGCCCTGAGCTTAAGATAGAAGAAAACATGTTAATGTTCAAATTCAAGATCCTCCCTTCATATCCAGTGACCTGCTCCACCACAAC